GAGGGACAGACCTGTAATTCTGAGGGACTACAGGCCCTAAACTAACCGAATCCCTACTACTACTACCCTAACTGCCTATAGCAGGCCCGGGCTACCCTAGGACAGACAGGCCCTAAGCRGCCTATACTGGTATACGGTCCTATAGCCTATAGCCGGGKCCGGTAGAGGCCGAGAGGCCGAGAAACAGCAACGGTACCGGTAGGTCCAGTCAGTCCAGTTTCGGTCTAGGCTAGTGTAGGAATCTAYAAKGCTAGGAAGTAAACTGATAGTGGGACTTTTGGCTTTCATTTTTCGCATGCAGCGTTGGTGGCCAACCAAGTTGAGCAGCGCTGAATRTCTGYAGTGGCRCCGRAGACATCASCCGTGAGTGGAGCAGCCATAGCCCGCCACCTGAGACAGCCAGAGCTGGGGCTGTACTCAGCGCATCTATCCCCTGGGGGATATCTGCGTTGGCAGGACTATCCGGGAGGTCTTCACAGAGTACATGTGGGTACTGCTGCTGCGGTAGCAGCTGGGCAGCTATAGCTGCCTTCTTCATCGTCAGAGAGACTCTTTGGCACTGAGAGCTACTTCGCTATTCATGGTCTGCATCTGGGTGTATGGCGCTGGCCTCCAGGAGGCTGTTTCAATACAGCGCTAACCTCTGAGTGGATAGGAGCGAGTGGTGTGAGTGGGACTTGAGTGGCGAGACACTGGGTTAAACTCTGTAACGATTATTGGGGTTAACTGTGTTGAGTTGGCTCATCATCTGAGACACTTTCCGATTGTGATCTTCGCAGTTTCAATTGTGATTGGTTGTTGGGAGTTTATCAGAGAGAGAGAACACTGGGTGTGAATTCTCCCCATCTGTGCATGGTTGCTATTCCGCTGTTCATCTCTGGTGTGTGTGCAGGTGGACTCTGTCTCTTTCTCCCCCTGACTTGTGCATGTATTGGCATGTGTCAGTTCTGTTGTGTGTGAGTGGCAACTCAATTGTCAAACAACCAAGTTCATAACAGTTAATATCGGAGCGATGATTGGACTTGGAGCTCAGAGGGTTGAGCGCAACAGGGACAACTCCTCTTTCTGGCCCTGACAGGCGAGAAGTGCCATGGTGGTTCTTCTTCTTCAGTGAAGATCCAGTGGAAGAGAAGACAGACAAGCGGTGATTGCAGGGCATCAGTTTGCGATTGATCAGGCACCCTGAGCCTGTCTGAGTGCCTGACAGGAAGTGGCGAGAATAGGGTTATTTCGCCATCCACCCTCCTGACCACAGTTGATCACTGGGTCTAGGGTGGCAAAATTTACCCTAATCCAATGATTACTGGGTGGCGGCTTCATTCCCAGTGTAGCGCTGAGGGAGGATGGATCGCAGGATCACCTCCGACTAAATTAACCCTACTCAGGGCTAAATTTAGCACCAGCGGCACATACCTTCCAGAGGCGAGATATCTTCAGGAGAGTTTTCTCTCGCCACTGAGGCAGATTCAGTGTATCTGAGAGTTGGGGGTGAATCGCCTCATCATACTGGACATGATCAACAAGTTTCAGGAGATTCTGTACGTGGGAAGCTCTGGAAGACTGTCTGCAAGTACTGGCAAGACCAGGGTTTGGCAGCCATAGCCAAAGCTTCATCATCCACTGAGGACTGTACTTCAAGTGAGTTCGTTCTACACGAATCCCTGAGCAGCGATTGGTATAGGATTAGTAAAGATAGGATTGATGGTCTGTCTGACAGTACTGTAACAATCGTGAAATCGTCAGACTGCAGGACAGCCATATCCATCTTCTTCCTCCCTACCCTAACTCATATCTTTGCACCTATTGACCTGTTCTGACTCAAAATTGTTCTGGAGCTGCCTGACAGTATTGCGCGGCATCCTGTATGTTCATTCTGTGAATTCTGTATTGAAAAGACAGTGATACTGTAGATCTGAGTTTTGCGTTGAGCCTATTTATAGTCTAGGCTACCTAGGGTCAATCACAACTCAAAATCTGACCGTCAGAATTCAAGTCTGTCAGTCTGGGGTGAATCGCAATTCTATTTTTAGCAACCCTGCTAAAGCGCTAGTCCAGAAACACTGTATTTGGGTCATTACAGTACATTCCTGAAATTCGCCATATCTGGGGTAATTTTTGTTGATGTCAACACTGGCGAAATTTGAGTCTGGGGTTGTCAAGGAGTAGTCTACTAAATTGCTACTACCTGTTGTTGTGTTTCAGTTGATTCTTGCCTATTTCCATCAATACTACTAATCTGTTCTGCTTTCTGATGGGCTCTGGAATATTAGTGACCCCTGGAATACTGTGAATGTGCAAAGTGCAACTTTAGTGTAAGTTCAGGGTCAGGTATAGGAAATCGTAAGTGCATGATTTTACTAGACATCCTGTCAGCCTGACCACTGACCCCAGTGGTCTTATTCCAACCCTAACTGCTTGTGCCCACTAACCCACATTGCTCTGTGAACTGACAGTGCAGCAAAATTTGGGTGTCTGTGTGAGTTGTAAATCGCTGCACCCCCCCGCTGTTTCATTTTGTTTTATTGTTGTTTGGTGAGGGAAAATGTCTGCCGCCTCTGACACAGGTGCAGGGAAAGTGGAAGTGATAGTTAAGGCTGAAGAACAGCCTTCAGCCTCAACTCCACTTGCCCCTCCCCTGACCCCTGCGCAGCGACGAAAGAGAGAGATTGAGGCCAAGCTGCGAGAGCAACAGGCGCTGCTCGCAGAAGCTGAGAGACAGGAGGCAGCAGAATTGGAAGCTGCAACAGATGCATCCCGCAAAGAGCATCTGCTGCAGCAGGCTCAGAAGACTTTTG